AAAGATAATAATTAAGTATTTTGTTAGAACTCAATGATTATCCTAATTATATTTTAGATTTTTTATATTTAAAATGAGATGTTTATCCTGTATTTGATTTTGTTTATCTGCAGTTAGTTACACAAATTTAGATATGGATGAAATCGGATAGAGATAAACGGGTTTAAGAGTTTTTAAGAGTTTAAGAGTTTTAAGAGTTTTTAAGAGTTTTAGTCAAATGCTTTATAATATAGTATAGATTATTGTGGAATTTTTCTGTTATTAAGTGTCGTTTATTAAATGCTTATTTGGGTAAGTATTTACCAAGTTACATTATTTATCGTATGAACATGGAAATGATCATGAATCTTACCCGGTAAGAGCGAGACAAAGACCTAGAGTCTTACCCGGTAAGTGAGGGTAATGACTCTTACCACAATTATCTCTTACCGGGTAATTTGTTGTATAGAAAGCCGTTTTTTTATTGACTAAAATCTTTCCCGGTAAGTAAATGATAGTGTTGAATTTTATCGTTATATGTTTACCGGGTAAGTGTTTGGTAAACGGCCTCTGAGTCTTTGTTAACTTTGTTAAATTAAGGATTATTTTAGTATTTTTATTTAATCTTTTTGTCTTTTTCCTATAAAAAATAAAAACATTGTATATTATTATATATAATGTCATCAAAATAAATAAAATAAGATATTATTTTATGATTTGATTTGTTTAAATTAAAAAATTAATTATATTAAGACACTGTAACTATAATGTAAGTACTAAAAGTAATTTGTAAACTTTATAATAGTGAATGAGTCTTCGCACAATGCAGTGAGATAAATCTTTATTTTAATGTTTAGTTTTTATTCTGTCTTTATCGATATAATACGATTTTATGTGGTTTTGAGAAATCGATAATATTTTATTTTTAAATGAAGTATAAATTTAAGATAGCATACAAATTTAAAAAAAAAAAAATCGATATTAATATCGAATTAACTATTTAATAGTTTTTTTTGCGTAACTTCTTTAATTCAATTTTTATTTATAATTCAATTTAGATTTAATAACAAAGTAATTTATTTTGCTTTAATAATATAATTTTTTATAAAAACAATAATTAAACATTATGTTAGAACTCAACGACTATCTTAATTATATTTTAGATTTTTTATATTTAAAAGTGATGTTTATCTTGTATTTGATTATGTTTATCTGCAGTTAGTTACACAAATTCAAATATGGAGCTTTAATAAGTTGTAATTATGCATAATTTACTTCATGTATAAAAAATAGTTTTTAAGAGTTTTTGTCAAATGCTTTATAATAAAGTATATAGATATAATTTAATAATATAAGATTAAATCCAAAAATATTCAATATTTGGCTTATTTTGAACGTATTGACGAGACGAGTATGATGATTTAAGTTATAAAAAAGAAAACATTTTTTTTCCATGTATTTTAGTTAATATACGATTATATGTTTTAATATATTAAAGATACAAACTGAAGAATGAAAAAGTAAGAAATATAAAATAAATTAAATAACTAATTATATAAAATAGATTTTTTTACTAACTTGAATACTTTAAGCAGAAACCACTTATGCCTAAAGTTTAAATGTAAACTTCGACTATTTAGAGAAAAAACACCTTCCGCAAAAATAAATAGCAAGAAATACCCCTTAACGTAAAATCTTTTAAAACCTATTTTCGTTTGAATTTAATATATTAGGTGCGTTCGGTACATTAAACAGACAAAACAAAGCAGATATCATTGCTCTACATTTGATATGATTTTTATGTAGAATAGAAGGAACATAGTGGAATAGGCTTCTTTCACCCTCACCTAATGGAACAAGATGAAATGGACATGCCGGTACGACTGAATATGCGTTAGAAAGGTCAATCCCTCCCCTACGACACAAAAAAAAGCGGGCCAAACCCACCACCTCATGTGCCAAAGTCAAACGGGGCTATCTGGCAGAAAAGGATTCTAATGGCAATTCCTATAGGAATTCTAAATAATGAAACCGACCGCGATGAAGAGAATATTGCCCCCCCGAGTTATCTCCTTGACTACACCTCCTCGGCCCTTTTTTCCTTCGATGACAGAGATGTTTATTTATTTAATTTTCTATGTGGAGATATTTTTATTTGGTTACTTATGTTTTAACAATATAATCTCAAAATAAAACTTAATTATTTTCTAAAACATCATATACACCTTCCTCTTTATATTTTATTCATTTTTTTTTATACTTTAAAACTTTCAATTTACTTTCCTAAGAATATTATTTTCATATAGATTCTATATTTTGATTAGTTT